ATATCTGCCCAGTGAATCAGATCCACTATAAAGTTGTATGGGTTCTTCCCCTGGCCCATGCAACACCCGTCCACCAAGTCTGAATCTAGTCACAGACGAAGAGTAAAGCACAACGAGCCGCGATGGATACTGACTCTTTAGGTGGTTGAATGAGGGAGTCGTGCTGCAGGATCAGGTCTATCCTCAGAGGTCGTGACGTCTTCCCTTTCCTCTTCTTCCCCTCGACAGGTTCTGGGACTGCACAGAGAAATACAGAGTAGTGTGATTGAGCATCAGGCACCCGGTTAGATTTTATTTTTATGACTCAATTTTTGTTTGTGTTTTTTAAAGCAACATAAAAAGGGATACTATATTTAAATGTTATTTTACAGCCTTACACTGTAAATTACAATAAAATAACCTTGAATACGTGAATATGTATTTATATAAGGCTAGAAGAGAACTTTCAAGCTGGTTAGTGGCTTATGTGTATTTCATTTACATGTGCAACTCTGGGAAATGCAGGACTATGCAGTTGTTTTCACTGATAAACAATTTCTTCCAACTGGAGGAAATCTATACTCAATTTGTGTAATTATATATATTCACCCTTCGGTTCAGGTTTCTTTGGTTGTCCAATGTCCAAAAAGAACAAACTGTCATCTGACTTCTCAGACAGCAGACCCCTGAAATACAGAAATATCACATTATGTCACGAGTTACACTTAAATTACAAGAAAGAGATTACTCCAATTAACTAACATTTTTTTTAATTAATCTGTTTTTCAAGTAAATTATTAATCATTTATTGTATAAAATAAAGGTTTAGCAATCTGTAAACAGTTGGTAGAGAAAATCTCAGATCTGTTCTCCGTTGTTTGATCTGATTTTTCAGTACTTTTGATACAATCAAATGATAGTATGGTATTGTTTTAAATATCTGGCATTTAGAAAATAGCAAAACTTTTGACAACTGTAGTATAAAATGTCAGACAACAGTAAACATGTCCATCACAAGTTTCAAGAGCCCATGGTGACATTTTCAAATGGTTTGTTTTCAGCCTATAGTCCAAAACTGTAGATATTTTACCTACAAAGATACAAAAAAAAAAAAAAA